CATAAGAATATAAAAAAAAAAAAAAACCTAATTTAAAGAAACTAAAATTCTTAATTTTCTATTATTAACAAATCCCATATCTTAATCTCTAATAATGTCCAAAAGAAGGCTATCACCAACTTTCTAAACTCTTTTCAATTCTAAATTTAGATGGGTATTTATAGGATTTTAAAAATCTTAATAGGAATAAAAGCGACACCAACACCCAAAACAATAAATTAGGCATGGATTCCTGAAATCTCATAAAGAGTCAACACCTTCAACTAGGTGCCGACACCTTCTGTAAAGCGCACGTCAAAAATTCACCGTGTCGGGTTTTTGGCCTTCTAAGAATTTTTATTAATGGTAAAATAACAGTCCTGGTCCCTAACTTTTAGATTCTGCACAAGTTGATGCTCATATTTTTTATCTTTACAATTTACTCCTAAAAATTATAATTTCTTCCAATTTAGTCTTTTCCTACCGAAAGAATGAATATTATATCAAATCAAGTAAAATCTCATAAAACTCATCTAAATAACAATAATATCAAGGCAACAATTTCACATAAATATCTATATAAATTCAACCCATTAAATTCTCCTAAATTTAAGTTTTACTCGTTCTCGAGTAAAATAAAAAAAAACAAATAAACAAAAAGAGAAAAAAACTTAACTTACTTTCGTAAGAATCATGATTGCACTTAGCATGTGTAACAAGCCTTTAAATCTCTAGATCACCCTAGTTGATGAATTGTGTCTAGTAAGGGTTTTTAGTGGATCTACCCACAAAATCTTAATGTAAGAATGCAACTATATGATATGCATGCAAAGAAAATTTAAGAATTAAAGTTCAATTGGATACAAAATATCAAATATTCAAGAGTTTTCATATACTCAGTTAAAGTCAAATATTTCATTCTATTCTTCACACCACTTCTCAAAAGATTTAGCTCATGAACATTTAGTGTGTGTGTGTGAAAATTTAAAGTAAAAAATTCTCAAGTTTGGACCTTTACACCTTAGCACTTATTATTATTATTATTTTCTTTTTCTCCTTTTTTTTTTGTGTTGAGTTTCCTTAACCTTTCTAAATTACCCATGTAACGAGCTTTTTATCAATAACTCCCAAACCAATTGGCTTTAGGGCATTAGGTGAAGAGACACCCCTAAAAATATAATTACTCAAGTAATAAAAGCCATGAAATTCGACTTCTCTTTTTTCTTTTTTCTTTTTTTTTTTTTCAGCCATATAACACATTCTTCTCTAAGCTATCACTTGTCTTTCGACACGAATCCTAACATTTGTGATAAAAGCATCTAGTTACTCAACAAGTTATAAAATCAAAGTACTTTGCATTCTTATATTTTAAGTTATCGTTTGATGTGAAAGTTGACATGAATCTCATGCCTAACCCCCAGTTACTAAGCAACAAGAAACATTGGAGTAGAAATTAACATACTCTTTTGTGTGTTGGCTTTTTTTTCTTTTTTAATTTTTTTAGGTGCTTTTTAGGTGCCATTAAGTTTTCTCTCTAAACTTCTCACTACAAACTTATGCTCAAGTAAAATAGAATACTCATGAACTTAAATTTCATCACAATGGTGTTATTTTTTGGATTTTGTATCTCCTCTAAGATTCAAAGATTTTAGAAGTTTTTGAATTTTTAACTCAACAATATTCAATTCCTTGACACTAATTAGACCAACTCCTAAAAGAATACCCTAATTTCTAAA